AGTCACCTACACCATTCTACAGCTCCCAGGAGGCTGTGCAGGAGAGAGGAGGAGACTTAGGGGTGGTGGCTGCTGTGCGCGCTCAGTCTGGGACAGCTATCTGAAGAGGACAGACCTGTGCAGCCCTGTGTGGGCTAAAACTGTGTGAGACAGAGCTGTGTGGTCACCGCTGATATACAGGGCACACAGGTAGGGTTGCCACCTGTACAGGATTCACCCAGACAGTCCATGTTTTGAATGCTGTGTCCGGGTTTCATGGCAACAGAAACCCGGACACAAGATGTCAGGCAGACAGGGGCAACCAAAATTAAGATAGGGGCTACTGGTCCCCCACTAAAAATAGTCTCAACTGTGATATTTATATATGAAAAGGTGGCGCTATTTACATATGAACATGCCACGGCTCATTCTCCCAAAAAAATTTCTGCACGTCGCTAGAGTGTTCGGGTTTCACTTGAACCCGAACACTTGAACAGGCTCTGTGCAGCGGTGTATAGAGAGACTGATCCGAGTTGCTGAACCGGAGAGGACTATCGAGTGACTGAAGGGAGGTCCGGTGACCGCAAGGGACGTCGAGGCCTAGTTGCACGGCCGAACCAGCCGCCAGAGTGATTCAGCCGCCCAGCTGAGAGAGAAGCTAGACGGAGCCAACCAAGATGACTGCAAGCATCCTGGATGAGTGAAGACTTCCTATCAAGGACCCAGACGACTTCCCCTACTGAGCCTGAGCTGAAGAGGTAAGAGGGCGTCCAGCATCTGCTATCAGTTTCATCTGTTCCAACTGACCTGAGGATTGGTGAGAGGCCTTTGGCCACATTGAGAACCTGTTTGCTGTTCATACCTGCACTACAGTAAGGGCCCCAACACCGGCTAGCTTAGGACACCACTACTGGGCAGTAGTCTAGGAAGGGTTGGGCATTGCAAAAGGGAAACCTTAAAGGGGCACATACCCCATTACAGAGAGGACATTTAAAGACATTTGGCCTCGCATACATCAGTGCTGACAGCAGATAGCTGCAGCTACTGAGTTGTAGAGTGCCTTAGCCTGCTGCTTAATATCCTTTTGTGTGACTGTTGGGTATACTATTGTCATAGTTGATTTATATATTGTGTTATTATTAAATCTGCGATAAAACTGTTCAAAGGTGTGTTGGTGTGCTGTGGATCCACGATTTGGGCGGTACATTAGAAATAGAAATAGCTGGGAGGGAGATACAGCTGGTCCCGTCCAATAGAAAACAGTTGGGCGGTGCTAGCTGTCACTGCTAGCTCCGCCCAATCATGTTCTCCTATTTTTCTACTTTTTCTATTCTTCTCGGTACCACAGAGGTACTGAGCAGAATAGCTGAGCCGAAGGGCGCTCGGCGGATTAGCCGAGTCAAACTCCTTCTGCACTTCGACCGACCCGAACCCAGCCGCAGCAAGCCGTTGTATGGCTCATTTCAGTCGGTGTACGGCTGAAATCAGCTGTACAAGCCTGAAGTGATTAGCCGAACGGCGTTCGGCTCACTTCACTTCGGGTTGGTTATTCACACGGCTGCCTTCGGCAGCTTTGTGAATAACCCCCTATGTGTCCCCAGTTATTTACAAACACCGGAGTGATCACACAATCACTCCGGTGTTTGTGCTGCACAGAGGATCGGTAAATATAAATGATACTTATCGATCCTCCGCTCGGCCACGCAGTATGATCGGGTGGCCGCTTGCTTCTCAGTGGCTCCCTCTCTCTGACACGATCACCCGGCTCTGTCATCGGGCGGCCGCTCGCTCTTCCGAGGCCTCTACAGTGCCTGATTGGGGAGCCGCGTCTGCCTGATCAAGCCAGACGCGCCCTCCAATCAGGCACTGTAGAGGGCCGCTCGCAGTGGCCATGGAGGAGCGAGCGGCCGCCCGATGACAGAGCCAGGTGATCGTGTCAGAGAGAGGGAGCCATGGCTTCGTTTAGCGGGGGTCGTGACGGCGCTCCCCCCTCAGTCCTGCGCCTGGGACAAGTGCCCCGCCGGTTGTTACGCCCCTGGTAGTGAGACAAGTTTTTTTACATGCTGACTTGTGAGTGTGCCATGATACCTTTCTACTGTTTACTGTTTAAAGCCCATTTCGTGTGCACCTTACTGTATAGTTGGTGACAAATTGTTGAGTGCGTTTGTCATTTGTTTTGCTTTACCTGGATTACAAACACAGCATGTTAACTGCTGTTATCAGATTGTTGCTAAATTACTTTACTTGGATTAAAACACTGCTTTTGATTGCCACAACTTAGTCCTGTTACTACTTATTCCATGGTGCATTACTGTCTGTAGCTGAGATCCTACCAGACCACGGCCAGTACCTTACAGGCTTCCCATCAGATGAAATGTATCAATCAAAGGGATGTACTTTATATGGACCCCAACAGGCATCAAAATCCACTATAGAATAGACAGATCAATGGACATATCAGATTGAACAACCAGCATTATTCATGAGATCTTTAATGCCGTTGTTTAAACGATCTATATGGCATGTATATGCTGGCAGTGAAGGAATCAATTTGCACATATCCGATACGGATGGACTCACAGGATAATGTTCATTCAGCAATCAACTGTCTGATCCACATCATGTCTCCATAGACATATAATATGTCTGATTAGCCCCAGAGGATTTAGTTCCCGGACAGCCGTCCGTGTCGGTAAAGATGAAAGTCCCAAGAGGAAACCTCCAATAGGGTTCCAAACTGATGTACGGCTGTATACATATGAAGTATATGTATGTGTATACTTATCTTGTAAGGAGAGTGTGGACAACCATTCAACGAATCCAAAAAGTATCAGTATGCATTAGGGATGTCCCGATACCGGTACTAGCATCGGACATCGTCTCTGAAGCTCTTTTCTGCACCTGCGTGCCCATCAGTGAGCTTTGAAGTGGTACGGCGGACCTGGGCTCGCGTGCCAGCAGAAACGGCCCCGCGTGCCCACTCTGGCACGCATGCCATAGGTTCGCCACCACTGGCCTAGAGGATCCCACACTGAGAGCGCCGCCCACCGGGGCAGCAGTGACACGACGCTCCTCTTCAGCTCAGCGCCGTCCTTCAGTGACGGAGAGCAGCGGCGAGTCAGCGCTGGTCCGGTGGGAGGAGCTCCTATTAAGCAGAGGATAATTGTAAATCTATGGTCTCCAATGTATTAGCAGTCTGTACTCTATATGAAGTACATATAGAGTACAGACTGCTAATACACTGGAGACAATAGATTTACAATTACACTCTGCTAACATGAATGGATTAAAAGATCCATATGTAGCCCTGTACTATGGATCATTTAACCCATTCATGTTAGCAGAGGATAATTGTAAATCTTTTGTGTCAAGTGTATTAGCAGTGTGTACTCTATATGTACATGTACTATATGCACTGCAACAATAGGTTTACAATTATCCCCTGCTAATATGAATGGGTTAAATGATCCATAGTACGTAACATGTAGTTGTACTACGGATCAATTAGCCCCGTTCATGTTAGCAGTACAGAATTGTATATCTATTGCTGCAGTGCATTCTATATGCAGTACATAGCACATGTACAGTACACATTCCCAATTCACTGCAGCAATAGATTTACAATGATCCCCTGCTAACATGAATAGGTTAAAGGATCCGTAGTACAGCTACATGTTATGTACTATTATGTACTATGGATCATGATTTAACCTATTTATGTTAGCAGGGGATAATTGTAACTTTATTACTGCAGTGTACTGGACGTATGTGCTGTATATGTACTATGGATCATGATTTAACCTATTCATGTTAGCAGGGCAGAATTGCAAGCGCCTCCCACAAGCTGAGCACCGAGACGCGATGCAGCGATCCTGCCCAGTGCCGACTACAAGAGGCACCTCGTGAGGCAACAGGGATCGGAATGAAACTGTGAGTGAGGGAAGCTGGGACGGGGCTGGCTGTAAATCTATTGCTATAGTGTACTGGACGTGTGTAATGTATATGTAATACATATACAGGTGAAACTCGAATAATTAGAATATCGTGAAAAGTTCATTTATTTCACTAATGCAACTTAAAAGGTGAAACTAATATATGAGATAGACTCATTACATGCAAAGCAAGATAATTCAAGCCGTGATTTGTCATAATTGTGATGATTATGGCTTACAGCTCATGAAAACCCCAACAACCCCAAATCCACAACCTCAAAAAAGTAGATTATTACATGCAATCAATAAAACAAGGATTGTACATAGAACAATATCGGACCTCTGAAAAGTACAAGCATGCATATGTACTCAGTACTTGGTTTGGGCCCCTTTTGCAGCACTTACTGCAATTACTTTTGCACGATATTCTAATTATTCGAGTTTCACCTGTATACAGCACACACCTCCACTACACTACAGCAATAGATTTACAATTCTCCCGTGCTAACATGACTAGGTTAAATCATGATCCATAGTACATAGCATGTAGTTGTACTATGGATCATTTAAAGTCACCTATCCCTTAAAGAAAAAGTATCAGTAATTGGTATCGGCAAGTACATGAGGGGAAGTACTTGTACTTGGTCCTGAAAAAGTGGTATCGAACAAATGGTTTGAAAACAATTTTTCTCTCACTGAATTCTACTGGTGTATGACCAGCTACAGCCAGTCACAGAATAACAGGAATAGAAAGAAACACCAGTTACACCTTACAAACCATTTTGCTGAAATGAGAGTGGTAATTGGGAGAAGAAATCTTTTATATATCGGTGTTGTTATCCGTATGGTAAACATTATGCTGCCATTATTTATATTTCCTTACACAGCTATATATATTTAATTTCTAAAGTAAACTGCCAGTAGAGCAGTCATACCGTCTTAGGTTGACTGACCCATGTGCTGTCACACTGAATGCGAAGAATTCTAATGTCAAATACTGCAAGTCCTGCAATTTCTATAGATGGAGGTCCATAGGATTAGTGACTGTTCAGTTTATCTCATGCTTGTTACTGTTACTTCTCTCTGCAGATTCCAGCCGGTCTGGGTCACACATGATCTCTGCAGACGATGCTGAATACCCCCGAGAGTACCGTACTCTTGGTAATGGGACCAGGCGTTTTTCCAATGTGGGCTTGGTGCATACTTCAGAGCGTCGGCACACTGTTATTGCTGCCCAAAGCCTGGAGGCACTAACCAATCTCCAGAAGTCTGACATGGATAGGAAGAGGGATGCTTTCATGGATCATCTCAAGAACAAATACCCTCAACATGCTCTAGCCATCCGAGGCCAGCAAGAGAGGATTCGGGATCAGGTGAGGACATCCTCATTGTATTAACCTTTTGCTGTTTTGTGTAAGCATTTACGCTAGCCAGATCTTCATGTTTTATTTCAGCAGGGTAAACTGGAGATTAGAGCCCAGAGCAAACTAGGCAAATTATTTTACAAAAACATTATCTGCTGTGATAAAGGAAACAAGCAAAATTGGTTCCTATGAGTGAAAGGGTTTTTTAGTGGTATAAAGCACTGTATTGTCCATGACAATTAAACAGTTTCTACATTTTGTTAACATCCTTCAGTAGGAAAATGACAGTATGAATATGATTGTATATAGGCAACACATGTAATCTCCTTCACAATCAAACACTTTTTATGATTGCAACTGAGGTTTGCAGGATTGATCAGAGGTCTCCACACATGAACTAATACCTGACTTTCAGATCCTTACAAATTAGGTTTCTCTTATCATGAGCCCTGTTAAAGCTCTCTTCAGAGTGGGAAAAACCTGTTTAGACATATGTAATTGTTTAACCAGTTAGGTCTTTCAAAACGTAACAGTTAATTTATCATGCAGAGGTAGGTCCTTAGCTCTGAGGTCTGCAAGGATCACCTATTTGCTTCAAGAAATACAAAGACCATACTGATTTCTAGTTACAGAACATGCGTTTCATTTAATTGAAAAATATATGCTTCATTTCCTAACATAATATCACAATGTAATAATGCACTGTTGCCCTCATAACCTTATTTTTTAACAGCTTTTAGTTTGTTGAAATTAAAGTTGATATCTGATTTTTATTGATTCTGAACATCACAAATATTTTTTTTACAGAGTACATTTTTATTTGTAAATTAAACAAAAACATGACAAGCAAATAACAAATAACATAAAGAGGACCAGGTCACAGAAATAACAGAAGCAAATACTAACAGGGGTATTAAACAACCTAGGCCAAAATAGCTGATTTGGAAAAATTCTCCAATTCAGTTCACTTTCCAGTTCAGCTATGTTGTCCTAGATTGTTCACTTCTCCTGCCTTCTACAAACTCTTCACCCTTGTGAATAACCCTGTAAGCATTATACATTAATCTGAGCAGGGGTCTGAATAACATACACCAAAGAATGGCGCAGAAAATCAGTTTAGAGCCTTGGCGGCTTTATAGCATTACAATTCCAGGTCCCTCCTCCTCGGGACAGAACGTAAAGAGAAATCATAGAACAGTTCAACGGTTCCATACTGTGCAAGCCAGAGAGCCACTAAAGAAAGAGATGTAAGAGCAGAGCAGGAGCAAGAGAAAGAGAGGATGATATCAAAGAAGAAGAGAAATAGCAAAAAAGAAGAGACGAGTTGAAACAGACAGAGGCAGCCAGGGTCACCCAAAGGCCGTAAAACGGCGTACCTGAAAACTCTATTCAGACACTCCAAGCAGCAATTAAGGGGGGCGGGGGGGGGGGTAATTATCTGACAACCTAGCAGCAATTTCCTCCTTGCACATAATATTAACTTCAGATATCTAGTCCTTGATGGAAGATACAGGAAAAGTTTTCCAGAGCCTAGTTATGAGAGCACAACCCGCAGAAATAAGATATTTAAGCAACTCCTGCTTTTGCTACTAAGGGGAGTCCTAGGAGGATCAACAGCAGGGACATCTAAGGAGTCTTGGAGCAGCAGTGTCCCATAACCTCTTCGCAGATCTGAAATATAGTTTGCCAAAAGGAACAGATTGGTTGGCAATCCCACCAGATGTGAAGCATGGTATCTGGCCCATCGCCACAATGCCAGGACCTGTCAGATGTCAAACGAGCATATTTGATCATATCCGAACATCAGTACTACCTGGCAATGATCTAATAATTACGTTCCTGGGTCTGGCTATATACACTAGCTTTAAAGGTCAGATAGAAGGCCTTTTCCCATTCTGGGTCCTCAATAGGATGTACCAGCTCTCTCTACCAATCCCTAGTAAAATAGGTGCGGTTAAGAAATGCATGAAGCAGTAGAATATTTCAAAGATGAGATCATGTGAGATTAGTCATCACTATCAAGACAGAGATCCTCAACGTGAGTCAATGATCTCTTAAGGGAAGGAAGCATTGATAAGTGTGAATAGTAGTGTATGAGTTGAAAGTATTGCAACCACTTACCATGTTGAGGGCCAGTCGGGGGATTCAAGTTTACCAAGGGTTTGAGACACGTGGTAAGTCCATGTAAGATTGGTAAATGGTTTTGCATGCTGCCAGCAAAGAAATTGTCATGTCTGAAAGGGAATCCCGAGTTATCCAAAATGAGAGTCATGGGTCCAACATGAGAAGAAATGTTATGATTCCGAATCACCAAGACCCAAACCTCCAGTCACTAAAGATGGAGGGGAGTTAGGAGGAGGCCTCATCTTCAGCTGGGTCAATGGCAAGGTCGTGAGAGGGACGGGAGACAGGTTCTGCTCAATAGATACCCTTATCTTTAAATTTGCATGAGTAACTCTGACAGATGGCTTAACACCACTGAAGTATAGTAAAGTGACATGTGTGGGAGACCTGTCCCACCCTGCAATTTAGGTTGGGTCAGTATATCATGACTCACCGTGGCTAAAGAAACTGTCCAGACATATTGCAGCAAAGAGGACCGAAGAATGTGGAAAAAAGGTTTAGGAAGTTTGATAAGCAGGGTCTGAAAAAGATAAAGAAATTGGGACAAAATGTCCCTCTTACAGAGGGACATTCAACCAAATCAGGAATGCTGCTTGGTGGACTAGACATGTAAATGAGCTAGAGTAGAAGACAATTATGGTGCAAAATTTAATTCATAAAATCTATCCATATTATATGCACTCAACATTTTCAGAATTGGGGTTGTAAAAGTGGTGACCTAGCGAAAAGGAATTGACAATTGCAGAAGGACTAAATCAGGCTTGGACAATGACACATCTAGGACTTGGGATTTTAAAGTATTGATCTTAAAATTGCTGAGGTAGCCAAACAAGTCAAGTTCTTGAAAGGAAAACAATTTTTGTGTTTTTGATATATAAAAGTAAATCATCCACAAAGAGGCTAAAAAAGGTGTTGGCCCATAAAGCATTTGCAAGATATTGCATTGCTAGGATATAAAAGAATAGAAAAAATGGGCAGCCATGGGACATGGGAAAGTCATACATTGCCATAATCTTAGTGATAAACTGCGAGGGCAGCCCAAGCTGAGACAAAGTGGCTTGTAGAAAGTTCCAGTCTAGGCAATCACCATCCTTCTCTGCGTCCAATGAGAGAAAGCATAAGGGGAGTTTGTGAGTATGCATGGGATATAAGATAAATGATTGTTTTGATTGTGTTGTCCCTGGCATCGCGTTGAGGGACAAAGCCCAAGTGCACTGAGTGAATTGCTGAGGCATTGAGAGGATAGAGCGGATTTGCCACTACCTTAGCATAGATCTTTAAGTCCACATTTATCAGAGAGTTGGGTCTGTAGCTTGCACACAACATAGGGTCTTTCTGATATTTAGGTGTTAGGATTATATGGGCCTTCTGTGACTATCTGAGGAAGGGTAAATTTGTCAGAGATGGAATTAAATGTAGTACTTAAGAGAGCGGATAGTGATTGTTTAAAAAGTTTATAGAAAGAATTAGAAAAGCCATCTGGCCCTAGGCTTTTACCAGCCAAAAGGATAGGACCTCCTCAGAGGAACAAGGAGCAGAAAGGGAGGTCAACACGGATGGGTCAACAGGATGTAGTCCCATCCTAGTTATATAGTCTAATAAGTCCGCAAATGGTAGGTGGGGAGTCTGACCTAGAGAAAGATTACGGATATTATAAAGACCCCAATAATACGCCTGAAAAACTGAAGCAATTTGGGTCGAATCATGCACACTGTCACGATCAGGGAACCGGGGCACTGGGGATCTTGAGCTCCAGGTTCACAGAGCAGTCTGGAACAGGGAACAGCCCTAGAATGCAGATATTGGGGAATGAAGGGATATAAGTTCTGATAAACGCAGGGAACCGGGAACAGAGTGTCTGCACAGTAAACGTGGGTGTGTCAGAGGCACAGGATCTAAAGTGAGCCTGGTCTTCTCCAGAGCCTCTGATAGTGAGGATGTTGTGCGGCAGGGCAGCTCCCAGGTTGCGTCCCACCAACACACCCCTGCAGACCGAGCTGAGAGAAGTGCAATGGATGCAGGAGTCCAAGGGGCGCTGGACTAGTGTAAGCAGGACAAGACAGTTCCCAAGAGGTGCAGTAAGGCTTGTGCATGTGCACAAGGAAACAGGACCTAGTGGCAAATACACACAGGGAGCATGCGTTGCATGATGCAGACCCTGGGGTTACTGTAAGCTCATCCCACACTGTTTCTCCAGCTGTCCCCCCTGCCATGTGCCTTGTGTGGAGCCTCACACTACCTCCTCGGGCCACTCTCTGTGTTTGTCTGTTTGTCTGTGTTCCTGAGTTATTATTATTATTTCTAAAAACTAAAATACACTGCACTATCTCCCCTCAACATTTAGCCCTTATCCCCAAACCCTAAGCAACAAATAGTCGGTAATCCGTGTATATGAAAAAGACCACTAAATATAGCAACATAATGCAAACAAATCAATAAAATATCGTTATATGAAAGCTAGATGTGAATATAACAATCTTCTAAATGTGAACATTTTTTAAATATATCACAATCCAATCAGTACTGGAGCCAAAAGAAACTCCCTAATTAAATTCTGCAAACCATGTTTATGGCAAATAGTGAGCCAGAAAAGTGCACCGCACTAGCTCCCTTCAACAGTCACTGATTATTTGTTGTGTAGGGTTTGGGGATAAGGGCTAAATGTTGAGAGGAGGTAGCACAGTGTATTTTTGTTTTTAGTTATTTTGACCAAATATCGTTTGTTTTGTTTTAGTTTTTTCACTGCGGCTCTCATTTTTGGGTTATAAGGGAAAGAGACCCATAAGCGCAAATATTTACTGTTTAGCAATATTATTTACCCCCTTAAAAAAAAAGAAGCCAATGTGACCATTGGGGCATCATAATGCCACAGGATGTTCCATACC